AAAATAGTTAATGATCGTTCACCTTGTAACTTCGATATTACTACAAATAATTAGAATTGGATACTTTTACAGTATAAAAAAATTGCGCCTTGCTTGAATAAAATTGCACTATCGTTAAAAATGAATTAAATGCAATGATAAACACAAAAACTTGAAAAAGCCCATAGACTTAGAATATACTGGCGTGTAGACGAACGGACAGAACATCTTACTTACAAGGACTCTCGAAAAATGATTGTTGAGGAAGCGGTAAAAAATTTAATCAAATTGTTTAGTACACGAAATTGAATAACGTAAAAAATTAACTGTATTTTTACCATGATAGTTTTAAAATAATTAAAAAATATTCATATAACATGTTCCTGGGAATAAGCTGAACCTACCTGCCTTTTGTTGGACTTTAATTCAAATGTATAAAATCCCAGGTAAAGTTACCGATACACTTAAAAAACTCAAAAAAAAAAACCAAATAATCAGATCGGAAAGTTGTATTTTCGAGCTATGATCTTTGGGGAAAAAGACCGTGGGCAGTTTCCCCGTAATTTCTTTTTTAACATATTGGTAATATAAATAGGTAGATACTTAACTAAGTATATACTTATTTATATTTTATATATTTTATAAAATGTTTAACTGGGGAAATAAAAACAGGGACACGGAGTAAATAACTGCTGCTTTATTTTTCATATAAGTATTACTTGTGATAATTATAAACATTTAATAATAAAATACATTATAGAACTTTATTTGACCATTCGACTAAAGTATAAATGTAAACTTAAAACAAGGAAGGAAACTTGTAGGAATCAGTTATGATAGTATATAAATAAGATTGTTCTGCTTAAAGGCCAATATGTTTATGAGGCTTCATCATGCTTCATCTTTATATTCTTTCATCTGTCCCTAAAAAGTATAAAGTAATAATAAACTTATTATCATTGTAGCTGCATGAATTTTACAAATATAATGATCTTAACACAGTAAAGTGGACTAAGTGTCTGAGGATACGGATGCACTCTCTATTCTCTCTATCTCGGTATGTTAAGAAAATGGTCACTCATTCATGGACTGACCACGGCAAGTGCAACTTAATCTCACAGATCTATTGATCTGCGCAGCTATTACTTAATCACGAGTTCCTCTTCTCTAACGACTAACGCTGTAGGCGATGAACCAAGTTGTTTAAGCCCTCGGCACAATGTCGTCGGCCATCAAGCATGAATCGGGCATCGACCGTTGTGAGTACCAAATATCATGGAATTTATTTTATCATACTATCATTACTAAATATCTATACCTAACTACGCTAAAAGTTTTATTATTGTGACTTGAAAATGTTACGAGCTTGGGGTATGAAACAATTAAAAACTGCCGAGTGAATTACCAAAATTGACACTTTAATTACAGAACACTAATTACAATTTAAAACCACACTAATAATAAAACACAATTGTACTACGGATCACTTTGGTTCGCAGTTGTATCGCTTAGAAGTATACGCTTGTATCACCAATTCAATCCTGACTCGATCGTAGTCTATACCGGTCTTATATAGGGCCTCAGATAGTTTCCAGAACCTTCTACTGTAGAAACATCTAGAATGTTCGAGTACATATCGATCCCGAAGTTTCTAGAAGGATCTTGACTCTCCTAGTTCTGCTACTCAATACTAGAAACCGCTAGTGGTAACTAGTGCTGCCATGTATAAGACGTTAATAGTGGCGCGCAACAGAAATATAATCCGAAGTTCCGAAGTTCCGTTCAACACCTTGGGGAAAATAGCGTGATGCTATGAATATTGTACTAGTATGACCGTGAGGCTGTGCGGTTGGTTGAGTAAGGTTATACATTTATTTTGGGTGATAAATAGATACTTAGTTAGGTTCAATGGCTTAAAGAGGATAATCTCAATTTTTTTTGTCTTTAATGTACTACAGTTTTATAATGTATGAAAATCTGTCTTTACATTTATCTAGGGTTGGATTTAGAATCGTTTGGCAGGAATTTGGGAGAGTAAGGTATTTTATTTGATAGAGGTTTGGTCCTCGATTATAATAATACCACTCACATTAAAAGGTAATGCACCGTTATCGAATAAATAAATAAAAACTATTATACCCTAAAACGCCTAAAACATGGAAAAACGTATGCAATATTACTGAGAAAGCTGGATAGCATACAGAATTTTGTGTAAGTACGACAAGGACGTAAAACTAGTGTCACATTATTCTACTGTCTATACTCTCTGTCAAGTGTCAAATAAGAAATGATTATAATATCATACTGTTTTATTTCAGAATTGTTTAAAACTGCCCAGAAAGTCTTGAACACCCAGATATTCTTTCAGTTGTAATAGGTTAGAAGTATGTGGTGGGGGCGAAGGCAACCTGTCTTTATAGATAAGATATCTGATCTAATCGATCTGATCGAATATCGACATAGTCTTGTATGCCGTACTCCTAGAGTGTTTTTGTAAAGCCGTAGGTGTGAAACGCAAGGTTACGCTACGCAAGGGTGAAGGAGCTGTACTCCCTGCTGCGCCGAAGCCGTTGTAGAAGTAACTTTGGGTCAATATCACTGTGTAAAAAAAGTGAGGTTATGATCTTAAAAAAAACCATTACTATACCATTACCATTACTACCTCCTTGCGGAAACTATACTTTTCCGCAAGGAGGAAAGGGTAGAGGGGCTTTCCCTGATAGGGCACACTCCTGCTCCCCTTTTCCCCCTCGTGCCGGAGACGATAAATTTTATCATTTTGAGGTTAGATCTTTGAGTTTTTCTTTTTGATTTTTCTCAAGAACAGTTACCTTTTAATGGGATTGGTGTCGGGAGTAAGGGGACGCTCAACCCCTACCCTCCTCCCTGCCAGATTCGGCAGGATGCTATTTGATTCTAAATTTCAATCTTTATCTATATTTATCTAAAGTTTTATAAGTTACATTTTGAAGTCTTATTATAACAATATTTTACTTACTGGTACAAATAATGTAGAAATGACTTATAATTTTAATAAAAAAATTATAATAAAATTGTTTTTATTCTACTTTTTCTTTTATACTTCTCAAGAAAATGTTTGCTGCAAATTGTTGAGTTCTTCTTTGCATTATAACCTACCCGTCCAATGAAATTCAAACATTTTTTCAAATTTTAGAATTTCGAGTGAATTTGTTTGACAAACGGCATAATAATATTACATTTTAGAACGCAAGGCGAGAATTTATTTTCTTGTTGTGTAGGCAAGTCTATCGATGCATTATAAACATTCAAGATAAATATCGTCATTAATTTTGGTATAGTTGAGTCAATCCCTACCGTACATGTAAAATATTTTGTATAAAAATATATTTATCAAATTCATGCAAATTAATGTGACTTTTTTCTTTGTAAAATATCAAAATAAACAAAATTATTGAAAACGTAGTATATTTTAAACAGTATATAACATAAATTTTAACCAAAAATAAACACTTCATAACATTGACGACGTCTTGAGAATTTATCTGTGAAATGTTCAATTATCAGGATTATTTCTATTATTAACACCACAATCACTCACTCAACAATTAAGCATTTTGGAAAAAAGTTACTTACTAAAAATAACCACTATTACACTTTCAAAAATTACAAAATATCTAGAAGCTATTTCTTGCGTGCCGAATTGCGCCGATCTCTCATTCGAAATCGGTTACAGTCATGAGATTTGGTATCCTTTTCTATCTTGCACTTTTGCTAAGGAATTTTCTTCTCCCTTACACACTATGTTGGTCTATACGCCAGTATATTCTAAGTCTATGGGTATATGTAATCTCTGATTTGAAGGTGAGCAAAGTGTATCATTTTGGGATTGGAACATTTGCATCTTGATCACTGAAATGTTCCGAACCACTGATATGTTTCATTTGGCTCATTTGTATCATCGACTCAAAAGATATAAAAGAAAGAATGTTCCGAATACATTAAGTTGCGTCGCGGGCGTTTATTACTGACTGATCCGTGAAATGTTATGTGGCAACAATGCTGAATAATATAAGTGCTTTGATTATTTATTGTGTACCGTAATGAGATTGTATATAAAATCGATTCTCCTTCATACTTTAACAAAAATGTCACTATGTCAATTCTTTATTTACAAAAATGTCCATTTACACAAAACAGCAATGTCTATGTACACAGAATTTTCTCGCAAAGTATCATAACTCTAAACTTTATGATGAAAAGGAAGAAAGTAAAGTCACAATAATCACTACGCAAAGAAATCCTAAACATAACTTAGTATGTTTTCGTAAACAGGCGCTGATGAATATAAACAATTTGACAAGTGCCGCATCAACGTAAAATGACAACTTGTTGATGCAAACATTACATACAAAAAACGACCGTATAGTATTTGACACATAAGCGCCTTAGTGATAATTTTTACGTGCATGAATAACGTCAGCGAAAATCCGTACGAGTTGAGTGATACACTTCTTATTTCTTATCTCTATCTGACTTGTGTGGATTATAATTATTTCGCCCGCTCACTCGCCACTCGTGAGTCAATAGTTAAGTTAATCATTGTCTCAGTCTGTCTCTCTCGCCCGTGGCTCAGTCGCTTCGCGCGAAATGAGCAAAGAGCAAAGTAAGTAATGTTTCACTGTTCCAGATCCAAATGATACATTTGAAACGTTGTTACTGAATCAATCTTTTTTGACACTTCAGTGATTCGGATCAGTGAGTCGTTTCCGTAAAGAGATACACACGCCTACTCTGGTTATATACTCATTGTCTTCCTTATTTATTATTTTCCTGTATAGGACAGTTACTATACTCTTTGATATTATTAATTATTATACTCTTTGCTCACTGTACCCGGCCGGTTTAATTTGCCGCCGCTGGCTTGGTTGTTTTTTGTTGTTGTTAGTGATTAGTGTTGTACAAAGAAGTTTAAGTTTGTAATTTGAATCGCCGGTATTGACTGAAGTTTTTAAATGTTGATTTTCTATCAATAAAACAAAATGACGGATTTACCATACAGTGTGGAATACGCAAAGTCTTCTAGAGCATCTTGCAAAGTTTGCAAGAACAAAATTGATCAAGGCATATTACGAATTGCACTAATGGTGCAGGTTTGTATTAGTCATTCATGTTTCATATTTTTAAAATTTTTGGATTTATTTTATGTCTTCTTGTATCCTTATCAAATTTATTTTGCAACACCACACAGACATAACAGTCCACTTGCAGGGACTTTGGATTAGCATGTTGCTAAGTTTGCTATTATTTAAACCCTAAACCTTAACGGCAACCAACTTATTCTTCTTAACACATTTTTGTTTAATCATATCTTGTGATTTATATGGCTATTCCAGTTTAGTATACATGAAAACCATCATCATCATCTTTATAGACTATTTAATCTCCATTGCTGAATATAGACCTTCTTCATAGATTTTCTAAGTATATTACTTCAAAAACATCCACTGAGAAACTTTAGTTGCCTTACTGTAAATTGAAACAAATTCTTTTGCTCTTACATTTGTATAAGCAAAATGTTTGTTTCAGTTCGTCGTTGACGCCGCAAAGGGGTGAACCTCAATTTTTCAAAAAATTACGGGGGAGCAAGAAAATATTTATTATTCACCGATTACTAGCTTTTTTCATCAGAAAATGAAATATATTAGATTTAATGGAAAATTACAAATAAGATTAAATTTCTGGTTAAAAAAGCTATTAATCGAGGAAAACTAAATGTTTTCTTGCCCCCCTGTAATGTTTTAAAAAATTGAGGTTTGCCTCTTTGTGGCTTCAACGACAAGTTGTTCTGCTCTTAAAATTGTTTATGGAAAATTTTTGTTACGCCTTCCAGAACTTAGCTTGTCCATAGTCCAATAAATCATTTGGATAGCTATTAATTTAAATAATGGATAACCAATTATTTGACAAATAATAAGCCAAATAATTTTATTTGTTAGGTAGTTGTTAGAATTTTTATCTGAGAAATACAAACTTCTTTATTCAATATAGATTATAAATAATACTTATGTATCAAAAGTCATTCTTTGTCCTGGGAAAAACCAGCAAGAAACCTATGTGAACATTTTTTTTGAAAAAGGAGCACTACCATCATATATTATGTAACACAGTTAACACAAAATAAATTAGAAATAGCTTTTTTTTAAAATAGGATAAGGGGAACAAATGAGCACACAGTCCACCTGATGCTAAGTGGTTGCTGGGGCCCATAGACATCTACATCTATCCTTGATTACGAATAAATGCAGATGCATTGTCACCCATTAGGATCAGATGGAATGCCTCGTTTCCAGTAAAAAGAGTCTCCGGTTCTTTACATCACTATACGAAACACAGCAGCGTTACGGTGCTATTTTAAGCTGGTATTCTGTGAGAATGCGGTCCTTCCCTGGTAGAGCCAACTCATTCATGTTACAACTATACTAGTAATATAGCTGCAGCATGGCTCTAGCATGTAAACAAATTGATAGCAATCACCTCATTCCTGTAACCCTTTTTATACAATCTTTGTTTAATAAAGTACTTGAACTTGGCAGTGGAAAAATTTTGTTTATTTTCTGGGATTTTGTTGTAAAAGTGTATACACTTTTACAACAAAATCCCAGAAAATAAATTTGCCTCAAGAATTAATTACTGAGGATTGAAATATGGCTCCAATTTTTTTATTAGGAGTTTAAAAATCACAAAGTTGTATATTATTTTCAGTCTCCATTTTTTGATGGCAAGCAACCTACCTGGCACCACTTGGATTGTCTGTTCGCTAAAAAACCTCCTACAGCTCTAAGTGATATTGCAAATTTTAACAAACTCAAACATGAGGATCAAGAGAAAATCAAAAAGAAGATAAATGGTATGATTTGCTCAATAAAGACCAACACGTTGACAGACAATAACTTGTACTGAAACACAACAGTTGTAATGAAAATTGTTAGCTAGCCTGCCAATTCTTTTTGTTTTAATTACTGTTATTCAGAATTGGTTTTCTTCAATACATTATTTACTTTACTTACACTATTCATTTCTTTTTTTTTTTTTTAAATGTTACTCTCACACTAAAATTTTTTCTTGTACTGTGGAGGCGGTTTACAAAAAATAAATAGAATGAGTACAAATATCCAGACCTGGTACATACTGTGTAGGGTACGAACCTGCGGCCCTCAGCGCCGCAACTCAATGCTAAATCAAAGAGGCATTGAATTTTTACAAACAAAAATTATAAATAAATTTTGATTACAAAAACTTTTTTGTTGAGAAAATTTCTTATTATGTGGTAGGACTCTTTTCAGCCTGTCTGGGTAGGTCCCTTGCTCACTCTCACCTATTCCTGCTGCTAAATATCAGTGCTTGCACTCTTGTGTTCTATTCTGAATGGTATAGGATATGGGCTGCAGAAGTCATTTACCATTAGGTGGACTTTAAATTCATTTGTCACTTTAGTTTTATATAAAAAAGTAGAACAGCTGTAAGAATTTTATTTACTTTACATTAAGTGTTCACTCATTTTTAGGTGAAGAAAAGGGTACAAAAAGAGGTAAAGCCAAAGCAAATGGAGCATCTTTGCTTTACACTATTGAGTATTCCAAATCAAGTAGAGCTACATGTCGTCATTGTGATATTAAAATTTGTAAGGTAAGGCTTTTTCTTAAATGTAAATTTTAGTTAACATTTGGTTAGGCAATAAAGATTATTAATTATTACATTTTTTATTAGTTTCATACTTTGTATAAAACACATTTTACCATCACATTTTTTGGGTATGTTAATTTACAACTAAACATTGACCTCTCCCATAAAATGCATTTATTTGTAATATAATATTCCTATTAATGATGATAAAAACTTTTTGAAGGACGAAATTAGAGTTGCTAAAATTGACTATGACCCAAAATTTGGAGAACATCCATTATGGCATCATTTGAAGTGTTTTGCTGAGAAGAAAGTTGATCTGAACTTCCTTGGAAGTGGAGAAGAAATTCCTGGTTTTAAAACCCTTAAAAAAGAAGATCAAAAGCTTGTGAAAGAAGAAATTAAGTATGTATGCCAGTCATTTTATGATAACCTAAAAACTTGTTGTACTGTAAAGGTGTAAAGTAGTGTTTGCGTAATAGGGCTATGATGGTTATCCAAGTACATAACTAAAGTATGAAACTTACCTAATAGCAGAGAAGTTTAAAACTGGCTGATGTTATGTCCTAGAAACTCTTCACCATTGCATTCGGGAGATGTTTTCAAGCTACTGGACTGAAAAGGGTATGGTATCAACATCATTGGCATGTACATCTCTTACCTTTGATTTGCTGACAACATAGTTATTTTGGCAGAATTGCTTAATGAGCTCAAAGACCTCAATAGTGTCTTCCAATGGATAGATCTTAAGATGAACATGGACAAAGGTCATGTGTAACATCCATGTCCCACCTATGCTTGTATGGTCGTATTTTTAATTAGACGAAGCCAACTGACAGTAGCTAATGTCACTTTGTAAAATAATGTTGCCATATTTAAAGTAATAGTGATGCGTTCAGTTCTCGTTCAATCAGATGAATGAACAATGAGTGTGTATAGTTAATCATTTCAAACTATAAAAGAATATTATTTCTATTTTACAATAAAATTGTATAAAAGTGCTCTGATATAAGTTACTAGTAGTATGTAACTACAATCAGTTTTTTGAGGTTTTATTACAAAGCGCGGCGCGGCGACTACTGCCAACACCGATCAACGCCGCGCGCGTCGGTCGCCATTTTGTTTGTTATTCGGCTTCTAACCTCTGGTCTGATAGCACGAATGTTTTTTCTGCGCTCACGCTGTTTAGTTATTGTTTTTGTTAAGTTTTTCGTTACGTTGTGTTTGTGGTAATTGTTGTGTTTATTTGTTGCTATATTGTTTCGTACAAATGATATGGATCCTCAACCAAGCACGTCAAGCCAAAGCTTGTCTCCAAGAAAGAAGAGACCACGGATTGCTTTAAGCGTTACCGAAAAACTTATGATACAAAACGTCTACAAACACGTATTTGAGGAAAAAGCTGCTTCACTATTACCTATTGAGGCCCCCGAAAAAAAAGAATGTGTTTCGAAAACAGCTGACATTTTGGGAATTGGTGTGACCTCAGTTTACAGTGTGTTAAAAGAATGCAAAGAAAATGAACAATTTAAGTCTCCCGAGAAACGTGGACCGAAACACAGTTTCAAAGATAAATTAGACGATTTTACTTTTGCCGCTATAAGGCGAAAAGTACATAATTTTTTTTATGCAAATGAGTCACCCACCATTATAAAGGTAACTTAAACTTTATTCCTTCTACTGCATTATATTCTGTGTCCACCATAATGTTCTTTGTAAAACCAAAGTATTAGATTGCGTAGACTTCCTTACTCAAAACATATTTTTATTACTTTACAGATTCTTAAGGTTGTCAATGAAGACCCAGACTTACCCAATTTTTCTTGGAGTACATTAAGAAATGTTATGAAACATTTAAATTTCAAATATGTCACAAAATCAAGACACAGCATTTTAATTGACAGACAGGACATTATTCTATGGCGCCAGCGATACCTTCGAAAAATTAAAGAGTATCGAAGGGAAGGAAGGTATATTTATTACCAAGATGAAACCTGGATCAACGAAGGTAATTACAATTTTCTGTTTTCTTTACATTAAATTGTACTTTCAATAATTAATTGATATTTTTCACTATCTTGAAGGTCATGCACCGAAGAAGGCATGGATTGACCAGACAGTGTTATCGTCCCGCCAGGCCTTCCTAGATGGCTTGACCACTGGCTTAAAACAGCCTTCAGGAAAGGGCAAACGATTAATTATCGGCCATATAGGCGGGGAAGAAGGATTCGTAGAAGACAGCTTATTAATATTTGAAGCCAAAAAAAATAAAGAAGATTATCATCAAGAGATGAATGCCGATTCCTTTGAGAAGTGGTTTAGGGGGGTCTTGCCAAAACTAAAACCAAATTCCGTAGTAGTGATGGATAATGCCCCCTACCACTCCAGGAAACTAGAATCGCTGCCTAAAATGTCTTGGACTAAACCTAGAATACTAGAGTGGCTAACGAGCAAAAATATTTCATTCGAAGCAACAATGGTTAAAGCTACTCTTATAGACATTGTACGGCAGCACAAGCAAGAACATTGCGATAAGTATGTTGTGGACGAGATGGCAGCGCAGCATGGGATAATTGTTTTACGTCTGCCCCCATACCACTGTGAGCTCAATCCCATTGAGTTGGTATGGGCGCAGGCTAAAGGATATGTTGCAAGAAATAACAAAACCTTCAAAATGACAGAAGTAAAAAAACTTTTTGAAGAAGGACTTCAACATATCACACCTGAAAAATGGAATAGCTGCGTGTCTCATATAATTAAAAAAGAAGACAAAATGTATGGTCTCGACCACATGATTGACAATGTTACTGACAGATTTTTAATTAATGTCACCGAAAGCGATAGTGATGATTTTTTATCTGATAATGAATAAAAACAAATTATGTAATAAGCGATTTTTTTTATTCTCATTACCTACCTATAATTGTTATATTTTATACATCTATAGTTTCAACTACATGATGTATTGAAAATAGGACAGTCTTACAAGTTTCCTCGCAATATTTTCCTTAATGTTTAAAACACTCGGTATTCAGTATAGGTAGATATTATAGGAACATAGTCGTCGAAAACTCGTTGGTATGTACAAAGCACGACTAAAATTCGAACCCCGTACCCGATATCGGCAGTTCAGCACACTAACTATTCACTAGACAATCGAGGCAATTTCATTAATTCAGGAGTTTTTCAATCATTCACTTTGTCACAACACTATTTTTATTTCATCAAAAACTGACAACACAGTAAACGTCAGTTGACTTCGTCTAATTAAAAATACGACTATAGATGTTGGAATCTCTATACTCAAAGTTCATGAGTTGTTTATCTAGGATAAATATGTCCTGAGGTCGCTACATACAGGGCTAAACATCTCGGCACGCCGAGATCACTCCCCGAAGTTGCATGCAACATCAAAGGACTGTTGAGCTTCTTCGGGGAGATCTCATGGTTCGAATAAGCATATTATTCCTGCCCATACGCAAAATACGCGCATAGACGTGGAGTTGCGGAAATCAGCCCGTCGTAAACTAAACTAAACTACCTAGGATAAATAGTCCGATTAGTGTAGTGTCTGGTAAGTCTGAGAGGTCAAAATCCAACTCGGCTGTGTTCAGGTGTTTACGACACGTCTTCTCGTCATGTATACCTCAAAATTTGAAAACAAGAGTGTACAAACAATGGATCTGGTCAGTGATTGTTCAGTAAGTATGGAGAGGGCTATGTTTGGAATTACTCTTTTTTTTAAATATGTAAAATAAGCTCCCCACAGAAAAACCAAAGTAACTGATATTATAGAACAACAGATCCATAAGTTGAATGGGCTGGCCATAACATACTTTGAAGAACCAATAATGGATGGGGAAAAAATTTTTTTGAGTGGCAACCTCATACCGGTAAGCGAAGTTTAGGGCAGTCCTCGACCAGATGGATATCTAGTCGAGGACTTGTGACGGACTGTAATGATAACTGTGGTGGTCTGTAATGATGACGTTCATGAAAAATTTATTTACCATTGTAAAATAGTTCTTCGTTATGCAAAAAGGCTAGAGTCAAAAGACATTCTCGGGCACGGCGCACGCAAGTTCTTAAGTTGGTGCGCCCTAAATGTGCAATTGCTTATTTGTGACTGAAACAGCCATAGGGACTGCAGATACCATATATTTTTTACATCCTACTGATATTATTTTAGAACTGTTATTTATATGACATTAATTTTCTGTGTCCCTGTGCTAGGATACTAATACAAGCACATGTACTGTAACAAGGCCTTAACATGATCAGATCAACTATCTCACAACATGTTTCTCTGTTTATAAAATTGCTAACATCGATTTCTCAATTATTGCAATGTTAAACATCAATGTTGAACGAGTAAAAGTTTAAAGTTTTTTTAAAAGAGTTTAGTTTAAAAGAGTTCTTAGTGAGTTTAAATATCCCAGCAGACAATCTATCGCTGAAATTTCGGCGCCTCCTTACGGTACCGGGTGCAATCACACAGCTAACACTACTACTAACACTAGGGCCGCCCCTGCCTGCTACTTTTAATTTTAACCTACATGTTACATTCAGTATATTATTAACTTCAGTAGTTTTTAATATTTTTCTTAAAGTTCAAAACTTTTTATTTATATATCCATACTATAATAGGTGAAGTAATGTCATGATTAACACATCTCTCATTACTATTGTCAGAAAATCAGATGGTGATGAGGTGCCTATCAAGAAAGTAAAAAAGGAGCCAAAGGATGAGGAGGATATAAAAGTGGAAACAGAACTAAAAAAGCAGCTAAAAAAACAGTGTAAGCTGTATGATAAGTGCAGGGAATATTTAAGCCAGCTAACCAAAAGTGATCTGCATTCTCTGCTGCAAGCAAACGACCAAGACGTGTTAACTGGCCGTGATGAGGTAAAACCAAATACTTCAGTTTCATTTTTGCTTTGCAAAGTAAAACTTATGTACTTACAACTTTATTTATTTATTTTCAAATCAGATGGAGGTTTTTAGAGTTCCGTACCTCAAAAGGAAAAAACGGAACCCTTATAGGATCACTTTGTTGTCCATCCGTCTGTCTGTCTGTCTGTCTGTCAAGACTCTTTTTCTCAGGAACGCGTGGAGGTATCAAGCTGAAATTCATATCAAATACTCAAGTCTACTGTCCCTTTGAGCTGTGAAAAAATGAAACTTCTAAGCCAACGCAATCAAAAGATACAGCCATTTATGCCGCAAATTTTCGACATTCCCAAGGGAATCAAAACCTACAGGGTACTTCCCGTTAACTCAGAATCTTAAAATTTGGTACAAAGGAGCGTATTATATAGCACAGATAAAGGAAAAATTGCGAAAAGCATAAATTTTTAGTTACATCATATAATAAAAATATTTTTAATAATTTTAACCAACGGATTTGTTCGGAACCCTCGGTGCGCGAGTCCGACTCGCACTTGGCCGGTTTTTTTTGTAACTAGTGGCAACATACTCCACCTGATGGTAAGTCACTACTGCAGTGGTATGGATGCTATGGATACCCGCAGCCAACTTAATATTTAATATAATAATTATTTATAAAAGGCAGATTCATTGTCACCACTGAAGACTATGACGGAATGTCTCACAGCCTGAAATTGTAGCCTTTAGACCAAAACACAACAATGCAAGCACTGTTATTTTGTGGCTGAAACAGTCAATAGGGTTGTCGTAGATAGATTGCCTAATTTTCAGGAGAATATAAACGCTTGTTGACTTGTCAGGTAGGCCATCTGAGGGCAGGGCAGAGTTTCCGTTTTTTACTTTTTAGGATAGGGTGGACAAACGAGCACACAGTCCACCTGATGGTAAGTGGTTGCTGTGACCCATAGATATCTACATTTATCCTCAATTAAGATTCAAAAAGCAGATGCGTTGTCACCCCTGAGGACTGAGATGGAATGCCTTGTTTCCAGTAAAAAGGGTCTTCAGTTCTCTACACCCACCATACGAAACAAAGCAGCATCAAGCTGCTATTTTACGCTGGTATTCTGTGAGAGCGTGATCCTACTCCGGTTGAGCCGACCAATTCGTGCTGCAACCACAAAATAGCTGTACCATGCCTTTACCACATAAAATGTTGCCAGCACGGCTACCTTTTATGCTGTCGTGTACAAGGGTGGTACTGTCCCAGATGGATTCTTAGAGAGAAAAGGAGTTTTACCACATAGAAAATGATGTGTTTTAAATAAAATGTGTCACATGTCATTTAACATTAAAATATGTGTGTTTTTCAACAGTGCTTGAATCATTTAGCCGACTGCATGGCATTTGGTGCACTAGATCAATGTCCCGAATGTAAGCAAGGTCAACTAGTGCTGGACACTTTCTATTATAAATGTACAGGTAATTAATCAGTCTCTTTTAAAAATAGTTCTGAAGATTTTATAATAAATAGTACTGGGACATCCCACATCCAGTGGCACTTTTTTCTAATTATTTGTGCAAATCACCATGCAATGGTTATCAGTATCGTCTATATTGTGCAATCGCGTTAGTTTATTTTCGTGTATTGTGTTGTCAAGATAGATGTTTTGAGATTTCTAATGTTAGACTTGAAAAAAAAATTATGACTATAAAGGAGCTGAGCATAGTTTTAAAGTTTTGTGCACTATTGAAATATATTGAAGACATAGCTTGCGGTGGTATAGTTAGTTGTAGAATTGGTTGTCATAGTTCACAAAAAATCTCTGACCTCAACCATCTTGCTGTTTTGCACTATGTTGGAAGCACTCAACTATCCACGTAGTACTGACCTAAGATATTGGTCTGGTCAATGTTAACTTGCTGCCACGCTGGTATGAAATGGTTTTATTTTTAAAACTATCATCTTCACCAGCCACTAAAAATCCATTGTTGGACATGGACATTTCCCATTACAGAATGGATTTTTTTTTATAGGATAAGGGTGAAATACGAGCACACTGTTCACCTGATGGTACGTGGTTGCTGCGGCCCATAGACATCTACATCTATCCTCTATTACAAATCAAAATGCAGATGCGTTTTCACCCGTGAGGACTAGGATGGAATGCCTCATTTCCAGTAAAAAGGGCCTCCGGCCACCTGCACTCACCAAGTGAAACGCAGAGGTAAACCTCTACTTCACGCTGGTATTCTGTGAGGTCGTGGTATCACCCCGGTTTGAGCCGGCCCATCCGTGTGACAGCAAAAGCTGCCGCCTGGCCCTACCACTGTTGCTGTAATCTCTGAGCTTGGCAAGTAAATTGGCAATCAAATGTCGTGCACATTTGAAACGGTAGACCAGAGTGTCTAAAAGGGCATAAATACAGGGATGGTACAATTTAAAGAAATATTTTTTTGTTTTTTCTGAATTTAAAGTTATTATGTGACTGAACCTTGATTGTTAAATTACACTATGGAGTGGGCCATTAAAGAAAATAAAATTGCAGTGATTTCTATGCACAAAGTGGGCTAGGCACTGTCAGTAATTTTAAGGTGCTTCAATAGCACTCATATGTTTGTGTATCACACTATTGTCAGGTTGTGTACTATTGACCATGTAGAAAATGTATCATGAACTCTCCAGTAAGACTGCTTCTGGTCACAAGGCATAAACAACTCAAATCTAGTACAAGAACAATGACCATTTCTAGACTTCAAAAGTGCTGAGGACTTGCGCTTATTTAGTTCAAATCTGAACTCAACCCGCCTACAAATTGCGGTCAGTACTAGAAGACATGGCCTGCTCAAAACATTACTCACAATTTTGGGTCTCTAAATTCCCCGTGGTGACAGTAGCATTTTATTAACTTGACAGAAAACATTGACACTTATCTTCAGACATATTCTTGCGTAACGTGATGCAACACGCAACTTGTAATATGGTCGTAGTGTATCTTCAAAAAATACTAGTAATTTAAAGATAATTGCATTCTTATTTACAGGAGACATGAATGCATGGACAAAATGCATGTACAAAACCAAAGACCCCAAAAGGAAGAAACTGATAGTTCCACCTGGCTATGCAAATAATCCTGCATTTCTAAAATATAAGCCCAAAGTTGGGACAAGGATATTCGAGAATGAACCTCCGCCATCAACTGCTGTGATTAAAAAGGAGGAGCCCAAAGAGTTAGTCGATAAATACCATCTTTTGTGTCTTTGACATCAGTCTGTCATTTGAAGTGTGTGAAACACATTTAATTGAAATAGTTGCTCATATTTACCTCACAGAGCTGATGTTGCCCCATATTGGTGGTGCCATCACTAGTGTGAGATTTGTTTATGGCATTGTTGGACCTACATAGTTAAGCCATTTCGCCAAATTCGTCCATCAGTTATCAGTGTGCATCAGGCACAGAGAAGAATAATTTTTACAAAGTAGTACACATATTTGCTCTTATTATTACACTATTGAATAACAATATAATAATAATCATTGTTGTCACAGCCTATCAAAGTCCACAGCTGAACATTGGCTTGCCGCATAGATTGCTTCATATTGGGCGATATTTGCCATATTTGCCACGCATGGTGACCACAATTCTTTTTTTAATTATTTTGAGTTGTTTTCAGGAAAACGCTGCTGCCCATCTCCTGTTTAAGTTTCCCTCTATCGACTCTTTCGACACCCACGCCATGATATTGAGTAGTGAAATCTCTTATGCTACAACGCGTTTTGATTATATGATTAGAGATTACAAGTGCTAACATCTTTTAGAGTTCATCTATATTCTTCATTTACAAGTAGTTATATATCAATGTTTTTAAATGTTTATATTTACAACAAAACAATCTTGAAAGAATTCTTAACATTTAAAATAGTTACAAAAAAATTGTAAGCGTAATAATATTCCACAAACATACTAACTCTTGGATCACAAGCATACATTTTGATGGTTTTATAACAATAATAACCTAATACAACAAAAATTGTAACATAATATTTGCTTTTTTTTAAATAGGGATGCGAAACCAAAACATATACCTCCATTGAAAAACCTGCAATTTTTCCTTCTCGGCAAATTTAAAACGCCTAAAGAGGACCTCAAGCATCGCATTTTGAAACTGGGAGGTCTTGTGGTGTCAAAAATTACTGATACCCTTGCAGCTGTTGTGTCTTCGAAATACGAGATAGAAAAAATGTCATCGAAAATGGAGGATGTTCAAGAAAAGGAAATAGAAGTATGTAATCTTGTTGAAAACATTCAAAACGCTACTTTATAAATTCCTTCATCTGTCGATCGATCCTGCCCAGCTGAGCGATTATGACCGTGGCGACAACTTGCATATACTATCGGAAGTTATTACTTTTGGAAGTGTATCAAACATCGGGTGCCCATATGAAACAGGAATAGTATCTGGGTTCGCTTTTAGGTGCACTGTCAAACAAGCTAGGGCATTCACAATCTCTATTTAGGAATGACTATTTGCTTGGAACAGGTATCAACAGAGATGGACATACTAATATGTAATGCGAGAATGTCTCTCCCCAGCGGTGGGATGGATATAGGTTTTAACTTAACTATATTTTACTATTAAAGTCTCTCTCACAAGCCTCCCCAAAGGTATACTATAAAGCACAGTCTTGAGCTGAACCTGCGTCCATCAACCTCCTGTATCTCTTACCAGGTCTTCACTCCATCTAGTGGGCGGCCGCCATACACTTCGCTCTAGCTCCTAGGCTATTTAAACTGGCTATTTCTAAAGTGGATGGAACTTTCTCAACTCATTTCTAAATTCTTTACTTCCAATTACTTATTCTGCACTCCTCTATGAAAACTTAAAATATGCCAAATATCACACTCCTTTCTTCTTTCATGTTTTCGAAGTTGTCTCTTCACGTATTGTTAGGTCTTAACCTTTGCTATGGGAAAATTGTAATATATTTTTTTATTAAAAAAACGGACTGCTGACCGTTATTATCAAGAATTGCAAATGATGGTGATGAAATCTCCAGACCTTGCCCTAACAGAGTTCCTTTGTTTTCAAAGTTAAGATAACTTATGATAGTCACAAATTTCAATTACGAAGAAGCAGCAAAGTACGCCTTTAAGGTGAAACATACGGTATGTTCCCGGCCAAGTCATCATTTTTTAGTTTATTTGGATTTTTGTGTAATTGGAACATTATTAAGTCGTAGAAGAAGCACTCGCGATACTCGTACATTATACTTTATTTTACTAGGTCATATAGCCTCAAAATCCACGCAATTCAACACAAAGTCCGAAAATAACATCTGTCATTGAATATAGTGTCGTTTAAACACATTGATGTGGGTGAATTCTTAGTCCCTACATTTACGAAAATTGAACACTAGATGGCGTGAATGAAAAAAAATGTTTAACTTTTTTCTGTATGGGTAGGCAGAACTACTGAACGCTACCTGCTACGATATATATTATGTACGATTCATCATCTGCCTAGCCTTTTTCCCAACTATAATGGGGTCGGCTCTCAGTCGAACCGGATTCACTGAATACCAGTATTTTACGATTATGTTATAAAAATAAAAGTTATATTTATAAAATGAGCCGTGGTAACTCAGATGGTTAGCACTCGCTGTAAGTTTCACAGGACGCGAGAAACCCGTACCGAAACGAGTATGTATTTACAGAATCATTATAATCATCAATACAACTGTCTATGTTCGTATAATCCCATTGTATGAATATTTCCAGAAAAACTCATTCAAAGGGATTATATGAACTTAGAGGGTTCTATTGGTGATTTTAATGATAATAATTGTATAAACACATACTCGTTACAGTCGTGAATCATATTTTATTAAACATACAACCTGACCCTGACCTGCAAATTCCAAAAAACGTAAGCAAATTTGAATTTCGCGGGCTACCCTGGAGTTTTCACCTTAAAGAGTTCATAAAATTTCGTTCAGCAGACTTCTTTAGCAAGGGCTGCAACTAACTATCCATTAAATCATCAAAATGTGTTGATAGTTTAGGGATATATTTTGATTTTCTTGATTTTTTTTTAACTTTTATCTCTATTACCAATTTCATTACACAAAACGGAAATTTCATTGATAAAGGCCTAAGAATAAATAAATTAAATACATGAATAATTTTATTCATCTGTTCATTCGTTCATCACAGCCCATCAAAAGTTGCTGTTAGGACCCCCAGGGGTAGTGGATTCTTTTACTCCGCCACTATTGCAATAACTTTGTAATAATAAATAAGTACTTTTGTTCTAATATCATATAAACTATTTTTTAAATTCCTAATATTCTTTGCGATAAATTACATATAACAAAGCTTATGAAATAAAATCCATATCAATCCAAAGATTAACTATTAAAATGCGGACAGAGTCATCTCAATATAAAAATAGTCAAAAAAAAATTTACCAAACCTTTATTTGGTATCACAAACAACGTAAACTAATTCTGCTGTTCTATCCACAATCCGCTGATTAAACCACACTTAATCAACTGAGAGCATAATTTCAGTTTGTGTACTCATTTTTGATGGACCCTCGATGACTATACATCTTTAGTATTACCTACATATCGGAGCGCTCATACACTTAATAATCGTAGACTGTTTCCAGGTTGTTGAAGAGTCATTCTTTGATTTGATAGACCCCAAAGAAGGCACTATCTCAACTACTCTGCGTCTAATAAGAGAAAATAATATTGCTGATTGGGGCTCTGACGTAAGTTATCTTGTATTAAAATAACTTAAAAACTTACAATGCTTGTGAAAAATTACCTATAATAAGAAAAGTTATGTTACTTTTTTCCAATATGATATGATACTTACAGAATGACTTGTGGTCTTGAACAATTTGCATGTGAGTAATTATGTATTTTGTATTTACTCTCAGAAACTACTACTACTTGCTATTATTATTAACAGAAATAGCTTCATGTACTATACTACTATTGTAAATTTTTCATTGGTTTCTTTTTTAAATAACTTTCTACAGCCTAGTAAGCGAATACCGCAAGATGTACTTGATGGAAAGTCGATTCAAAAATCTGGAAGTCAATATGTTAAGTCGAAATCTGGAGTAACCAAACTGAAAATCAAAGGTACTCTACTGTTACTTATTGTAATGAATATTTTGCATGTTGTCAAAAGTAACTCAAAGATAAAATAATTTTATTCAAAATTCGCCTCTAAAAGCGCTTTCTGAAAATTAAAAAGCCTATGCCTCAATCTGTAAAGTTGAACGAGATGGTGCTACTACAAAAGTCTATTTTTAATGTGAACGTAGCATGTGCAGAATTTAGAATGTTATTTTTAGTTTAGTTATGTACATAGTATACTAAAACGTGAATATCGAAAATAGTCATGTTTTTCTTTGAATATTTGTTATAAAAAGAGGGGAATAATATATTTAATATACATAATATTTGTAAGGTATCGTGCCGTACACGTGGAAAAAATATCATATGTGTATGTTAGTTTTTATGGCAAGTAAAATAATGTGAACATAAACATGGAAGCAGGAAGTCGGTAGATGCAGATGACTCAGAAAACGCTGCAGCGATATGAACTTGAATGGTCTTATCGTAATTGAGCGCTATCTTAGGAGGATATCCGGACGGCCCTTAATCCATTAAAACGCATTTGTGTTTTCTATCTGGATAATCATTAATGACACTAAAGCTAATATTTTTTTTCCATACAGTCTCTGACCATGTTCATATTTTTTTTACAACTTAAGTACTTTAAATATTAAAAACCTAAAATTACTAAAAATATCTATAAACATCCCCCATAGTTAGACATACAGCAGACAAATTTACGAACATAAAAATAAAATATACAAGCATAGTCACTATCTTCCTTATATTGATCTTATATATCTGATCTTGAAATATCGGTCTAGTTATGGAGGAGAATACTGGGGAGGGAAGGGGGCGCAGTGTGGAAGTATGCAGCCCAGATTTTCTCATAAGCACTTTAAATTACAGATTTTTAGAAATGATGACATCAATTTCTATTTAGATAGTTGTTGTCAAGTTATTAATTAGAAATTGATACTTTACTTACATATATTATATAATTTATCATTAATAAATTACTACATCGCAAAATTGGCAACCTTGCTCTGGTGCAACGTTTTATTTAAATAAGATGATTATTTTAATATAAGAAACTATAACGTCTTATTTAATTATATTATATGAACATGGTAGAAACAGCTTTATTATGGCTGAATCACGAATGGGTCGGCTTGTCTGAAGCAGGAGCACGCTCGCACAGTATCTTAGTCTTAAGGGGTGACTGCATCTGTACGTCGATTACTAATCAAGGATAGATGGAGTTATGCATTAGCCATAGCTACTTATCAGGTAGGCTGTGTGTTTGTTTGTTATTCATAAAAAAATAAAGTTACCGCCTAAATATGTTTAATGCTGGGCATGGGCCTCCTCTCCCTCTGTTCTGAAAGAGCAATTAGTTCATTCTTTTAATAACAATTAGTAGTAACAGAAAGGAGACTTAGTAGTTAGATGAGGAAGCAATTAGTTCACCTTGCTGCCCCAGTGTGATGCAGACTTCACATGTCCTAAAATATTTTGTCTTGGATATGCGACCTTTCTTACGATGTTTTCTTTCACCGCCGAGTATGTGATAAAGCAGTACTTAAAATTACAATTAACAATTTCAGTGTTGGGATTCTAGCCAACACTAACCCTTGAACCCTGAGCTACCACAGTTCTTCTCCCTCACCATATGGATTAGGTTTGGTTTTGGCAGCTACTAAATAGTATTTCAACAGTCGTAAGTGTTAATTAATGTGTGTGTTCGGATTTTTTTAAGGTAGCTATATAAATAATAATAAGAAGAAACACATCGCTTTCAGTAAGGAAATGTGAAAGTGCATAATTTATATAAATTAAAATATTTGCAGGTGGCACTGCGGTGGATCCTGATTCTGGGTTAGAGGATGAAGCTCATGTGTACAAAGACAGTAGTGGCACAAAGTACTCTGTTGTTTTGAGCAAAACTGATGTAGTCGAACAAAAGAATTCTTATTACAAGATACAGCTATTAGAGTCTGACAAAAATAAAAAGTATGTAATTATAAATCATATTTAAGTCTTATAATTGATGGTTTAAATAATAATTTCCTTTTTATTGTCTGGTTCTGAGAATTAGTGTTAACACCAGTGTTATGCACAGGAACTGAGAATAGAGCTCACTTACTACTTTCCAAGTTTATTTAGATAGGTGCCATCCCCTGAGAAAATAATATTTTAATGATTTCATATGTTTACTTGAACACTACATATTGAATGAATCTAGTTTTACGAATTTTATCGCGTTGTATTAACCGATACCGCTACCATATTCCAAAGTTCAGGTATATTTTATATTCCCGACGTTTCAAGTACTTAACATCACCCATGGTCACGTTGAGAAATGAGGTGTTCTCTGTGTAACTACGACATTGACACTCAATATTCTATATTGATTTATAAGGCAAAAACAGCATTTAAAACCATTATGACTATGAACTGCTTTATTGTGTTTGTTTTAAAGTGTTACACTAAATTTTGGTCACTTAAAGCCACTGCCAAACATAGATCCCCCATAGATTGCCTCATAGGTTTATATTTGACATAGCTACCACACTATTCAGGTATGTTGGCAATCGCAGTTTTTTGTTATATTTATAATCTGTTATTACGAAATCGCTCCTGCCCATCTCCTCCTATCAATTTCCTTCTGTCGACCGTTATAACACCTATGGGATGATGTGGGGTAGTGTGTATTTTTAAACCGCTCTCTGGTTAATGTTTCGATTTTGATATAATAACTGTTTGTAGACCTAATGAATAAATTATCATACTACGCGTTTCATTAATACGCGCCACTATGCCAGATCTTTGTCTTAACGCATCTAGTTGCAATAAGTTGGTCTTTTGGAAATTTTAATATTGCCTAACAGCGCCCATAACTCAATCACAATAAGTCTACTTTGACTGTTATCACTTTTTACCATTAGTTTTATTTGAAAAGCTTCTGTTAAATATTTACCATGTCGCGAACACTTGAAGAGCAGACATTTTTAATAACCATGCCATGTCTATTAAGGTACTGGATATTCCGATCATGGGGTAGAATCGGAACTACAATAGGCAGCAACAAGCTTGAAAATTGTTCGTCATTGTCAGATGCTATCAACAAGTTTGAAGACCTATACATGGAGAGAACGCAAAATCCCTGGGATGCAAGACATCACTTTATGAAGGTAATTTATCATCTTTAGCTAACAGTTGCTTTGTGTATATACATGTTCATAGCTATTATTATTGCTTTTAAGAAATTGAACCAAAATATTAATTTGACAATTTCGTTAAATTAATAGCATAATTTTTTGAATTTAACATAGAAGTTTTCGCAAATCTTTGTTATATATTTGTTTTGTTTTTTGTGGTAACATTAAGCTTGCGATATTTATCTCATATTTTTATGTTCTTAGTACCATTTTTGTTAATTATAATTAAATAAATGATATACAATAAAAGAAGGAAAAATAAAATCTCTTTTCACAGATGCCTGGTGCATACTATCCTATAGACGTGGACTATGGAGACGAGCCTTCCTCTGCGGCACTGAAAGTGGACACCAACTGTAAATTGGATGTCGCTGTACAACGCCTTATTATGCGCATATTTGACATTAATGTCATGAAACAGACTCTAATGGAATTCGAGGTATGTGTTTGCTTGCTTAAGTAACCATAACTTTTTTAAGGAAGATGAAAAAAAAATGTTCACATGTACGAGGCAATTACAGGAGTTACTAATGAGTAATAGTCTACTTGTTCTTCTTACAAGGTCTCCCTACAATAGGGACTTTTTGTAGCGTTGAAGTAGCATTTGACTTTTAAAAAGTGCTTTGTAAAAGCCCATTTTGCAAACTTTGATTTTGACTGAGTACATTTTCATATAAATTAAGGCTACCTTTCCACCAGAGATGTGCTAGGCCGCTGAGCGGTGCGAGGATGCTTAGCGACGCTGTGAAACGGTGCGTAAATGAGCGGTGCGAGGATGTGTGGTGGGCTCATTTAAGATGCGAGCGGCGTGAGGTGTAGTGGGAGCGAAGCGTGCGCGCCATTGCCCGCTAATTCTTGCGTCATTCCCTAGTACACCCCTCGCAACACATCCCCCGCATGCATCCCTCGTAATACATCCTCCGCACATATCCCTCGCAACACATCCCCCGCACACATCCCTCGCAACAAATCCCCCGCACACATCCCTCGCAACACATCCCCCGCATACATCGCTCGCAATACATTCCTCGCATCACATCCCTCGCAACACATCCCTCGCACACATCTCTCGCACACATCCTTCGCAACACATTCCTCGCAACACATCCCTCGCACACATCCTCGCAAACACACCTCGTCACACATCCCCCGCAACACATCCCTCGCACACATCTCTCGCACACATCCCTAGCACACATCCCTTGCACACATACCTCGTAACACATCACCCGCACACATCGCTCGCAATACATTCCTCGCACACATCCCTCGCAACACATCTCTCGCAACACATCCCTCGCAACACATCCCTCGCAACACATCTCTCGCAACACATCCCTCGCAACACATCCCTCGCAACATATCCCTCGCAACACATCCCCCGCACACATCCCTCGCAACACATCCCCCGCAACACATCCCCCGCACACATCTCTCGCAACACATCCCTCGCAACATATCCCTCGTAATACATCCCCCGCACACATCCCTCGCAACACATCCCCCGCAACACATCCCCCGCACACATCTCTCGCACACATCCCTCGCAACACATCCCTCGCACACATCCCCCGCACACATTCCTCACAACACATCCCTCGCACACATGCTTCCCTTGTTTTGTATATACAAAAACCTCGCTCCGCTGAGCCGTATCCACCAGAGCTGCGCTGAGCGAAGCTAGGTAAATAAAGTGATTCTATTGGTTCTTAACAAACACACCCCTCGCTACGAATCCTTGCACATCTCTGGGGGCAACGCTGCCTTAGAGTGAAGATACGCGCGGTGGAGATTAGGTACAAAGTATATCTATATATTTAAATCTCTTTGGGTACGTGGCAAGTGTGACACTCAGCTAGGTTTATTAGTGAAAACAATTATATAGCGGCGAATTGCGAAATATTTTTTTAACACTTTAGTTTTCATCCCATTGTTATTGGTTTTTCTTTTTGCCACATACTTAGGTTTTTTTTTTAAAATATATGATATAGAAGATTCGTGTCGTTTTAGTTTCTAAAATAATTAATTTATGGAAAGAGCATATGGATGTAGCAGTGGTAGATATAGATTGTATTGTAAAAAATATTTGCTCTAGTATGGATAAATGTCGCTTAGATATACGTTTTTACACGCTGTTTTGATACTTTAAGTTTTTTTAAGTTTAAGTTTTGCTTTTTACCTAGGGTTTTAAAAATTACAAATGTGGCAAGCTAAAGATCTAAATCTTCCTTTAGTGACATTTACTAATAAACATATTTGCCGTAATCATTAGTGTAGTGTTTCAATTTCCCTCTGTCGCCTCCTACAACACCCACTGTACAATATGAGGTAGTGGATGGTATTCTTATACAGCCACTACACATTTTTTATTTACTGCTAGAATATTTTTCCAACTGTCCCAATATAAATTTCAAAAAGATTTTTATTCAATAATTTTGTTCACAGCTTGACACAGACAAGATGCCACTTGGAAAGCTATCCAAAAAGCAAATCAAATCCGGCTACAATGTGCTGTCCGAATTACTTAAGTATCTTAATGAGGGCAAAGCCAATGCAAATAAAATTGTAGATGCAACAAACAGGTAGAGTAGGGGTTTTATAAATTTAAAGATCTTACGCTTCTCTAATCTTACAGTTTTAGTGTCGCACACGTTTTGGTTTACAAACAACAATAGTTTTTATATTATACTAGTGATCCGTTCCGGCTTCGCAGGGATGATTTCTGCATCTCAACAATAGCGCCACCGACCGCGTCCAGTTGTGAATCGTTCAGATCATCCAGGGACCCACTCAAACACACACAAAAGATTTCATTAAAATAGGTCCCGCCATTTTCCACTTTTTGCGAGACTATCGGACAGCAATTGATTTTTATATATGAATATATATCTATACAAGTAAATAAAATTGAAGTGTCTGTTTGTAATGTCAAAATTACAGCTTTTTACTAAATACATATGAAAGTATATTCGATACTTATAACAAAAACACAATTTTTTAAGTTTTTATCTGTCTGTCTCTCTGTTCGTTCTGGCTAATCTCCGGAATAGCTGGACCGATTTTGATCGAACTTTCACTGGCAGATAGCTGATGTTATTAAGAGTAACTTAGGCTTTTTTGTTTTTGAAAAATGGTTTCCGCGCAAAAAAATTAAAACACATGAAATCCAATCGTAATAAATTACACGGGGGCAAAGTCGCGGGGAGCAGCTAGTAGTAATATATTTCATGATAATGTTTTGGAGACCATTTCAGATATTTCAAAGAATGTTCAAATGCCCATCCTACACATTCAAATTGTTTCTAAAAATGAATTTTATAATGTAATTGTAAAACATATGTATTTCGTTGTAAAATGTTAGATAGAGTAAAAAGACGCACTAAGTTTTTTTTTTATAGAAGAGAAGACAATTAACGCATACGGCTCATCTGATGGTAATAGATCACCGCCGCCCATTGACATTTGCATCACTAGAGGAATTGCATGTGCGTTTACGGCCTTTTAGAAAAGTGAGAAACTACAGTAAATTCCACAATGTGGTTTATTGGTTGTGCAATGGTAAACAGATGTCCGTATTTCTTAGTATTACGCAATTTCGATATACCATAGGTTCTTCATTTGGCAAAACCGCGAACGAGATCGCGGTATGATATAATTAATTATACACCTAAAAACCTCAAGGTTAATAATAATATCTCCGTTACATGCATATTTATAACAACTGCATACAATTTTATTGTAGGTTCTACACACTAGTTCCACATAATTTTGGCACCGACAATCCTCCGTTGCTAGACAATGTTGAGGCAATTAAAAATAAAACAGAGATGTTGGATAATTTGCTCGAAATAGAAATCGCCTATAATTTGATGAAAACAGGTAAGAAATTCTGAAATCACAAACATTTAATTGTAGTTAGGTATTAAAAATATGCCTATGTAAAAAGTTTTAAGGAATATGCATAAACAAAATGGATTGACTTTGTTCATTGACTTACTAACAAATGGACGACAGGTCTATAGTAAATTCACGAAAAAAGTGTTCCGTGTCAATCTATATAAAAACATAAACACATATAAATACACTTCCCGACAGCCAAATTAACAAAACCTACATTTTTCGGCTTAGAGGCCCTAAACATAAAAATTATGGTAGGTAAATAAAATAAAGTTAGATAAAGCTTTTATGTAGTCTTGAAGATGGTTGGTAGATAGTAGGACCCATCTAGGTACGTACCACCCTCTGTTCTATCTCTGTCGGCATGTAGCAGTGCGTGCACTGCTGTGTTTTGCTCAGAAGAGTATAGAAAGCCAGTATAATGGCAAGCTGTTAGGCATCTTAATCCTCAGAGGTCACAACTCACAACGCATCTGTAGTCTTGTTTGAAGTTGGCTACAGTAGCACTTTTGTTTGAAGTGGATTGCAGTTATCACTTACCATCAGCAAGACTGTAAATTCGTTTGTCATTTTAGTTTTATATTGTATAAAGTATTATCAACATTATCACACAACATATCTGTTTTTCAACATTTTAATTCGAGTTTATGTAAAAATGTGTAACGGTGCGTACATATTATATAACATAACATGTTATAATGTTGCATTGTTATATAACATGTTTCAGTAATGTGGAGACTGAATGATATAAAATGTGTTATATAACGTGACACAAATGTTATATAACTCGAGAGTATCTTTCTCTAGTCAATAAACTATGTTTGTTTGGGACGAACCCAGTATCTATGTTTCTTTATTTTGTTATTTAAAAGTACAAGAGGTGCTGCAGCAGCTAGCAAAACGTCTTCTCGTGTCGACATTGTGATAATTTAAAATTACAAATTTTGTAGTGCCGACTTCAATAAAAGTTATTAAGAATAACTCAAAAACTATTGGTCTGACCTTGATCAAATTCATATGGGTCCACACGAGAAGTACCAGCTTTCAAATAAAAAAAAGAATCATCGAAATCGGTTCACCCAGTAAAAAGTTATGAGGTAACACACAAAAACAAACAAAAAAAAAACAAAAACATACAGTCGAATTGAGTACCGTTTCCTTTTTGGAAGTCGGCAGAAAAGCACTTTGTCATATAACATTGTTATATTGCATTGTTATTCTAATGTGTACAGTATTGTTATATGTTGCAATGTTGAAAAACAATGTAACATAATGTGGACGTGTTATAAAACAAAAGTTACACAACATTTTACTTAATCTGTACGCACCCTAACAGTCGTGTGTCGGCCTATCTCAAGGGTAAGACATGTTGGGTATTTTTTTAAACAAATTTACTTAGTGACTTATATCGCCTCTTAGAGCGTTTATCATGGTTGCCATGCGGCTTAGCATGGAATTAATCAATGTCACTATGATTTGTTGGAGAATGTTGTCCCATTCTTTTAACTGCGAATCATGACGTATAAGCAGCGACTGAAAAAGCTTCACATAACGACATTAGAGTGCCGCAGACAGAAAGATACAAAATACTGACAGGATATTACGGTGTGCCAAATCTGCAAAATTTGAACTTACGAAATAATAAAAATAACCTCTAAGATAAAAATAGAAACTGCCAAAGGGCTGCAAAGCAAAATCCAATGAATTTAATTACAAATCGTGTTGTCACTAATCGAAATAAGCTACCGAAAAATTAATGCTCCAAGAGGGAACACCTCCAAAAATAGATTGGATAAATCTCCAAACATTAAGATGCACACACATCAGCTTTTAGCTACTAGTGTATTAAGAATAAATAATAATAATACTATCTCGATAGCAGTTTTCAACTCTTGTAAGGTCTGTGGAGCTGGTGGGTGAAATTCCATAAATGCTCTATCAAATTCATATCACGGCTTCTTGCTGCCACTCCATAATTGTGATACCGATGTCATGAAAGTATTCTCTGCGATTTCTGTAGTTTGCGCTGTTGCACTATCGCGTATAAAAGTAACAGTCATCACATGAGTCTTTATGCATACATGAGTAAAATATCGTTCACTATTTAGTATTTAGGTGTGGTTCTGATACACCTGCAAGTCCAGTCTTTTGTAGAGTTCCTCCTTAGAGTGTACATGACCCTTCGCTATTAGGTACGTTAGGTACGTTACGTTCTCTTCAATGCAGCAATGTACACAATCCTTCTCCCTTTTGATACACCTATCTTTTTTCCATCATTCTCATAATGCATAATTTTGGTTTCGTCATAGAAGAGTATGATGTGCCTCAACAGTCTTGAGTCCTATTCAAATGCGAATTTTAACATCATTAATTATCTTATAATTAAAGATGTTAAATATTAAATAATATAATTATGTTCACAAAGTTTGCCTCGTTGGTCTAGTGGTTGTAGCAGTGCGACTGCCGATCACGAGGTCACGGTCTTGAATCCCGAGTCGGGCCAAAAAAATTAGTTATAAGAGTTTTTCCATCGAGAAATTCTCAACAGCTACCCGGAGTCAGAAAGTTTGTGGTGTCTCATCCCTCTGCCTCGGAAAGCACGTAAAGCCGTTGGTTCTGCACCCGATCTCTCTCCGGTCGTGTCGGTTTACCGTCCCATCGGACTATGAGAGTGAGGGAAAAGAGAGTGAACCTGTGCTTGCGCATACACTGGCACTATAATCCTGTTCTACGCCGATGGCTAGTCTCCGTTGAGGCTGGCTGCCGTGACCGAAATTCGGTCTTGAGGACATTTTGGCCGCAAAGTAATGTCTGATTCTATTAATTAGCAAAATGTTACTTTTAAATGATAACACTTTAGATCGTTATAGGTATATTGTCTAGAACGAAGAACAATATTTCTTATCAAAAATATGTCACTTTACTAAACTACTTTTCACATAGTATCGCATTATAGACATGTAGTATGTCAATAGACCAAATGAAGACTGGCGCACGATTGTTCAGACGCGCGGATCTCATGCCCATTTGTTAGTAGGTTTTACTGGTTGATTTAAAAAAAAAAGTTCTAAATCTTATATTTCTCTTAATGATACATTTTTGTATATCATAACAACAGACGAGGATGATTCTGTGACTCCAATTGAATCCCACTATCTGAAGCTGAAGGCAGAAATTGCTCCGCTCGACAAGAAGTCGCCAGAGTACGAGCTCATTATGGAGTATGTGAAGACTACGCACGCGGCGACGCATTCCACATACACATTGGACGTTGAAGAGGTTTGTATTATTAAAAAAGTTCTGCATGATCCAAAAATCGATATTTGTAACACCTTTGTACGACTGGGTGTAGGCCCTCTCATACTAAGCAATGGTGCAGAAAATCATGTGCACTACCGTGTGGGTTGGAGAGTTTCACTCGGTTTTGGTTGTTTCCTTAAAAAATTAAAAAGTTTCTTTATTAAGTTTTCCTTCGACATAAAGCACAGGATAAATAAGCAATAAATTAAAATATTGTTGGTGGTAGCATCTAGATCCAACTTAGCTTAAGTTATGAAACTATATTGTTATACATATATATATATATAAGGATGAACGGCTGGCCCTTGAGCAATCGTAGTTACGTACGTTTTTAGAGTTTATTATTAACAAATTAAACTATATATTCATGATTGCTGTCCATTTCCTCATCCAGAGACAGATATTATCATAAGACTTCAGAAGGACAATAAGTACATATTCAATATATTTAAAAAGGCCATTTCATCTAATGATACGATGCGTTAGTTATAGATGCGTTTTTTTTTATATTTAGTCGTCACTCGAGAACCTTCCGGCCATAACATTTGTTCATACCACAGCTATGTGGTTGGACGGCCGGAAGAATACAAATAATATAATTTTGTTTTCTTTGTGTAGCCAAGTGTTGGGTCTACTCTCTAGTATTTGTTACGTTTTAAACTTGAAATAACCTTATGGGTTTCAGATAATTGAAATAAAAATATTTATATTTTTATTTGAAGGTATTTAAAGTGGTTCGTGAAGGAGAAGACAAACGTTACAAACCGTTTAAGAAGTTACACAACAGGCGGCTGCTGTGGCATGGATCTCGAGTCACCAACTTTGCTGGAATTCTCTCACAAGGTTAATTTAATTGGTTATTAACGTAATCATATTACAATCATATTATGTATTAAGCAAGTAGAGGATCGCTCTACATTAGATTTTCTTGTATGAGGCTACCATTAGAAAAGTTTCTTCTCTACCAATAAGCTATTAGATCCATTTCAAATAGTGTTTTAAATGAATCCTAGAGTAATAATAAACCACTGGAATTTTTATATATATTTTTTAAACCGAATAGTGCCATAAACATTACTTTCAACCTATTGTTTTAAATTTTCGCGCGAAAACGCTAGCCGCCATGCTGTTCAGAACGTGACGTCACTGCTCTAGTATACTTGACCTTGGAATCTTTATTATCATTGGTGTGTTGTGCCTGAATGCAAAAATACGAAACATAAAAATGAAGTTATGGATTCAAGTGGCTGCTGATTTAAATATGAGAAATACTTGATTAAAACTGGCAAGAAGAGACCCCTAAAGACATTTTCTACAAAAACTAGACTATACTTCTTGAAGAACCTTCCCCCCTACCCCCCACCCTCGTACGCAATAGTAATGCAAAGGGATGCAACATCTCTTCGAATGCCAATGAATCGAGCCGATCGGAAAGGACTCGGTCGTCGATGATTAGAGCCGCTCTGCGCTGGATGCGGTCAAGTGGAAGGAGCTGGCTCTGGGGATCTCCTGCCCAGAGATGGGAAAAGTATTCCATGTGAGGCCGAACCTGCGCCTTGTAAAGTTGCAGGCGGTGTGCCGGCATGAAATACTGTCCTGCTCTGCTGTGCACGCCAAGCTTTTTAGAGGCCAATTTGGCCTTCTCTTCCAAGTGACCACGAAACTGCACGTCACTCGATATGTCGACTCCGAGGATTCCGATACTGGCTCAGGAGATACGACAAAGGGGTTCTTTTTACCGGTAAACGCGCAAACTTGTGTCTTCTGAAGATTAAACTGGACTAGATTTAGTCGCCCCCAAACCGAGACTTTGTTCAGCAAAGACTAGACTTCAGACACAAGTTTGTTCCGGTACTCGCCGACGTTTTCCCGAGAAATATTGGCACGGCCGGTGTATAGAGCATCACCAGTGCTATCATCTGCATAGAGCAATGCATGTTACCGGTTTGTAATATATTGATATGCAGAAGAAACAGCGTTGGTGATAGCACGCAGCCTTGTGGAACACCAGCGTTAATAGGCTTGTAGTCGGAGCATGTACCGTCTATAACGACCTTGATACTCCGATCTGTAAGGAAGCTGGTGATCTAATTTCTCGGGAAGCCCATAGGAAGGGAGCCTCGAAAGATGAAATAACACACAAATTTTGAAATAACACACAGCACAATAGCTTGCTTACTATAGAATTGACGTCACGACGGAATATAATATGACGGATAGATTTTGGACGTTTGAGGCAGTTTACAGAAAAAAATTTTTGAATTATAAAATTTATTATGAATTTTTATGAATAGAAATCAAAATTTATCGTTTACTTTTTTACAAAAATTATCATAAATACGTATTGTTTTATATTTTTACGTGGTGCAAAATGCCCTACTGCTTACTAATCGGTTGAATTGTTTTGATCACTTTGATGTTTTTTTATTGCGATAAGACTTCGTTACCTATTCGTGTTACGAAGAAAAACTTCAAGCTCTCTCCTTTAAGTAACGTAGGAATGCATCTTTTCATTTCTTCACGCATTTTCGTAGTAGTCGACCTAGGGAACATCTTTGATAATGGCCTGGAATATAGAAATAAACAAAAAAAAAATGTATTTATGGTAATACATAATATGTGGTATCCATTCCTGCTTACAACATTCTTGAAATTCCTTGCTTGTAAACACAGCACCCTTATCTGTTATTATTCTATGAGGACTTGAGCTATCATTAGACTTTGAACCGAACAGTAATCAATTAATTAACTCTAGGTTCTTAAAATCAACTTTACAACGAGATTTATTGCTGACTTTCTGCATTATTGTTATATTTGAAAAATTTGCCGGTGTATATACAATCAAATTTTATATCACAATAAGAATAAATTAAAAAAAAAAATTGCAAATAAGCATTAACTTTGAAATAAAATTCTTACTACATCTCCAACAGTTTACAACTTCATCAATTTACATTCTCCTTGTCATAATTAGTCTGAATCGGTTGTGTCGATTTTTGATTGGCTTTGTCTATATGTTGTAAGTGTTGGCTGAATTTCTCTTTGTCTGAGGTTTTAATTTTGTTCTCACAAAACTGTAGTTGATAAAGAGAAATACATAAATACATAATTGTTATAAACCCTTTAAAAACAGGTCTTCGTATCGCTCCGCCTGAAGCACCGGTGACGGGTTACATGTTTGGTAAAGGCATATATTTTGCTGACATGGTTTCTAAGTCGGCAAATTACTGTTGCACCAACAAGAATAATCCTGTGGGTGTCATGCTGCTATGCGAAGTTGCACTTGGTGACATGTGAGTACATCATATTTTTATTAACCTAATAGTTCTTTTTTTTATAAAAGTAAGGGTGACAAACGAGCAACACAACCCAGTTTGCTGCTTTGTTTCTTACCAGTGGGCGCCAGTAAAGGAAGATATCGTGAGAAAACTTGGATTTCTGGAAAATAATCTAGCATTATTGAAACATACGATTAATACTTCTTTATATCTTTATTTATTATGAGCCGTGGTAGCTCAGATGGTTAGCGCTCCCTGTTAATTTCACAGAATACGAGCAACCCGAGTTCGATGCCCGCCGGCACCAATGAAATTGTTAATTGCAATTTTAAGTGCTGATTTACCACGTGCTCGGTGCTGAAGGAAAACATCGTGAAAAAACCTGCGTGTCTGAGAAATAAACAGAAAAAAATAGTTCGCGGAATGACAGGGAATGATAATGAAATGACACGTTAAAGAATTTTTCCTTTTCAATGTATTCTCCCTTAACCCTAATACATTTATTAGATCTATCAAATAACTAATTAATACCGTCTACAAAAAAGATTTGTCTTGGGCGTCAAAATAGGCCAAAATAGCCGACTTCACTTCATTATCGTCTTCAATTTTTTCCCACGCAGTTGTTTCTTCATTTTTGGAAATAAATAATAGTATTTTTTCTTTAATAGCTTCTTTTAATTGATTTAGTAAAGAACCGTAGTATTCTCCCGTTATGGAAACACCACGTTCTTTATAATCAATCAAAATGATACCTTCTGTATCCCAAAGATCGTCGCTATGATCTTTCCGGCCAATTGAGACACCTTATACTTCTTAGGAGGGGGTGTGCCTTTTTATGCCACTGCATCAACTGTTGCTTTGACTCAGGTTCATAACGGTGAATCCAAGTTTCATCGCCAGTTACAATTCGGCCCATAACGTACGCAATACATTATAACTCAATGCCCATAACATACTCACTTTTCTCTCCACAGCGGTCCAAATACTCGCGACAACTTTCGACGCGCTCGTGTTTTGATGCGCAGAAACCATTCTCGGAACCCATCTTGCACAGACTTTAGTCATGCCAAGGTGTTGACGAATTTTATACGTGGTAGAGCCATGTTGCAGCTATATTATGGTTGTAGCACGAATGGGTCGGCTCGACCGGGGAAGGATCACGCGCTCACAGAATACCAGCGTAAAATAGCAGCTTAACGCTGCTGTGTTTCGTATGGTGAGTGTAGAGAACCGGAGACCCTTTTTACTGGAAACGAGGCATTCCATGTTAGTCCTCACGGGTGACAACGCATCTGCATTTTGATTCTTAATCGAAGATAGATGTAGATGTCTATGGGCCACAGCAACCACTTACCATCAGGTGGACTGTGTGCTCGTTTGTCACTCTATCCTATTAAAAAAAGAATGTAGGATGTTTAAAATGGTTATTTCTGATATTCCAACTAATTTCGCAAGCTGTTTTTTTCTTTAGCCAGGCATCTTACGATACAAGTTTTTCAACTTTTTCGATTATTTCTGGCGTGGTAGCCTCAATCGGCCGTCCAGGTCGGCGGTCGTCTTCAATGGAGTCCCTCCCTTGTTTGAGAAGGGCGTGCCATTCATAAATCATGGTTTTCCCAGGAGCGGCGTCCCCATAAACAGCTGACATTTCTTGAAAAATGGTTTGGTGTCTTTCCTTGTTTGGTGAGTAACTTAATAACGGCGCGATATTCAATTTTCTCCAGAGTGGCTAGTGTCTTCCTGATTGACTTGTTTATTCGTTGCTAACTCAAAGGCAATGACCCGATTAGGCTGAAACTTGGTATATATACTAACAATGAGTCACTCTACTAGCTCCTACTTGGATGAGTAAACTCACCCTCGCCAACCCCGTCGTTACGCGAACTTTTTGACCTCCCCTCGTAAATACCGGATACAGCACCTAGTGGCTTAGAACGGAGTGGAGCAGAATAGAAGGAAGCTGCACAACAACATGTTTAAAATCGGCCAAATCTGGTCTAGTTGTAAAAATGACCTAAGAAAAACGCCCGTTATATTTTATGACTTCCGATATGTAACGGTGGAAGAGTCCAATGCACGATGGTTTAATTTACCTGTTATTGAACGGGTAGCTCAAGTAAACGGTAAGCGATTTATCTAAGTGTTTTTCAGTTGAACTACAATTAACTAAACAATGTATGGTATGGCTAACAGCACTAACTGATAGCCAGTTTATTTCTGATGTTTGAATTAATTGTTTAACTATCGTGATGCGGTATCAGTAGTGAAAAGCCGTTCTGTGATTCTGCCAATTATCTAGGAGGAGTTCCCGAACTTTCATCTTGAATGACTGCTAGCTGTCTTAAATTCAAGAGAGAGTGCGTGCCAAAGAATTGTAATTTTAACTTTTCTACGTATTATTTTTTGCACAATCTCTACAAAGGTACTTGACGTTGTAGGAAGGAGTGCACCGCGGCGGATTACATCACGAAGCTGCCGAGCGGCAAACACTCGACGTGGGGGGTGGGGAGGACTCAGCCGGACCCGGCGCGGGCCCGCACGTTGCCCGACGGCACGCTCGTGCCGCTGGGCCCGCCGGTGCCCGCGCACAAAGACACTACGCTGCTCTACAACGAGTATCCTTTTACTATGCACGCCATATTAAATTCAATAATAATAATAAACAATACAGCTTCGCGTGGTTAAGCGAGCTATGTCGGACCTGCACAGACTAAAACCACATGACGGTCTTCCTAGCCATCGTAACCCTGTAATAAATAGATTTCATCAGTCGAAAGGTATTGCGATATACCCAAGGATCTTGTTCTTCTTTTTTCATCAGCTTATAGAAGTCCAACTGCAGGACATTGGTCTCTCCTGTTAGTGTGTATGTTAGTGTGGATTTGTCTTATACGCCACGCTTGACAGGATTCTAATATGTTGATTTGATTTGAATGTTTTTATTATCTATATAAATAATTTATAAATTCCTTAGCACAAAATAATTACAGATTCATTGTGTATGATGTGGCCCAAGTCAAGGTCAAGTATTTGCTGCAGATGAAGTTCAATTACAACTTCTAAAGTTACCTGATTTTTGCTTACATTTATGTTATGTTAATTTTACATTGTTTTAAATAAACAATTAAAACTTTGTTGCAGTTTTTACTGCGCTTGAAAACGCTAGACTGTTTATTGTTAATAGTGATAGGAGAAAACATTGTTTTTAATCTTACTATGTGATCATTGTTATCAAGTTCGGTTTATAATAAATATTATTACGATAATGGTACATACTCATTATGTTAAACTGTATTGTGCCGTAGCTACTACTGAGCTGGTTTTTTTATAAATTGTTGCCCATAATTATTGATTGAAATAATTTTGATACATCATATTCGGAATTAATAACATTAATATTTGTAACATCATTATTATTGTACTTATTAAAATGTTCCACTACATATTTTGATGTTTCAATTACACACAAAGAAATCAAACTTTTAATAAAAAATCTTAAATCCGAAATAAAAAAGTTTAAACTGACAGAAGATATTATGTGAAAATTATTTAAAGTCCTCGCTTTTATTAAAGTAAAGAACCTAACACAGAAGTGACAATGCAGTGTCACAATTGTTGAGCTGTCAATATTATTACATTGTTATGGATTCGAAACTAAAATACAATTGTTCGCGCCAGGGGGCGCTCGGCGCGGTGCATTCGTACCGGTTTGACGTTCGCGTGTCGTGAAGCGACAATTAAATATAAAAGAATCTAACCTAACAGCAACAAAACAACAAAAATAGAACAAAAACAAATAATATATTTAAAATTTAAAAGGTATTTACAATTTCATATAACAAAATGGAGTATGAAGATGAGGATGGATGTCGTGATTTACAAATCATTTAAAAAAAAATAATAAAAAAAAGATTAGTGTCGAAGCTGAGCCCGAAGATCCAAGGTGTACAGCAAGTGCTCTCAGCGCCTGGAACGAGCACGCACGGCGTAGGTGAGAAGGCGTGGGCGTCTCTAGGCGACGACCTCAGGTGAATGCGGTGGTTTGCAAGATCCGGCGATTTCAGGCAAGACAGGGGCTTGCAGGATCCTCAGCGACTTCAGACAGGACAGAGGCCTGCAGGATCCGGTGACTTCAGGCGGGACAGAGGTTTGCAGGATCCGGCGACTTCAGGCAGAGCAGAGGTTTGCAGGGTCCAGCGGCTTCAGGCAGGACAGAGGCTTGCAGGATCCCGGGGCAGTGCGGCCCCGGGATAAGGCCTTTAGGAGATGCTTCGAATTCGAGAACTGAAGCGAGACTGAATTTCTTCACCGATTGTTCGGCTTTTATACCTTTCTAGAGAGAACGGAAAAATTATTTAAATTAAACGCAAATTTTTTGTAAATGGCCAAGAGGAAAGAGTATTTATGTGAAATTATCGAAGTAAAAACAACAGACCGGTAGCAAATTTGAATATAATTGTCATGACAACCAAATAAACAACGATGTCAAAACATGTCAAATTTTGGTTTTAGGCTCGTAATAGAAAAACGGCAAGATTTAAGTGAAAAATGAGATATTATTGATATAGGAAAAAAGGTAGCGCACCTGCGCGCACAAAGTTCGAAATTGCAGAGTTACGGAAAACTAAATAAAAGATCGAAAAAGGTAGACTCCATTGACACCAATTTAAAAGTGCTGATAATGTGAAAATACGAAGTAGAAATGATTTGTTATTGTGTTCTTATGGTTTAAAATCGTTACAGGATCCTATGGAAATAAAGGTGATGTAAAATATCCAGTTTTGAGGTGAATGCAGAAAATCGAAACAGAATGGAAAAATGAATTTAAAATAATGTAAAATGATATGTAGCATAACACTACACGCGCGAGAAAGTTTTTTGCTACCGGCGGCGGGGTCGAGTCGAACAGTTGCTATAATACTGTGCTAGCGAGAGCACGTTTGAGGACGCCCGGGAAACCTCCATTTTTGGAGTCGGTTTTGTTAGCAGATATTGCAACGACGAAGGTTTCTTTGTTAAGTCTAAAATTCGACGCCGGGCTGACAAATTGTTAGGAAGTTAACATTGATCGCGATCAAAGTCTGAATTGCGTATTAGGCGCGCCTAATTTATAACAAATTAGAGTTAGTGGCTTCTGTAAGTTAGTTAATCGTACGATAGAGTTAATGGACTGTCATCGTGACGAACGAAGAAGTGGTCCAGCGCCGAAGCAGTCTGAAGCGGTGCAGCATTTTGGAGCAGCCTGGAATTCGGCCGCTGCTGGCCGCCTATGCTTGCCAAGGCCCCACACCTTCACACCTCACTGTACGTTACACTCACGGCCTGGCCAAGCCTTGATGCGAAGTTAGCTTCGGATAATGGTAAGTACTACGTGTTTCTAGCTTTCTCCCTTATTGTTTAGTGTAACTAGAGATTTTCCACTATGGCCTTAGGAGGCCCGACCTACGTCTGCTCGTCGAAACTCAGCTGAATGGGCCCCTGAGGATTTGACCTTTAAGAGAGCAGCCGTAAGCCGTAACAACAATCTTATGTTGATTCAGGTGCTTCTTTTTTTGCAGGTTTACCATTAATAATAAAGTAAGAAATAATTCGACGAAAACAGGGATTACCTCCGTTATTCGAAGGACGGGTCATGTGACAGTTATACCGGAAAATAAATATAAAGTATGCTGCAGACTGGTATATTAACAATTGTGTTTCGGTGGTCTTCGAAAATAGAATTACAATAATTAGGCTACGGATTCCTTTATTTTACCAAAATCGAGGATTTGAAGATAGGTTTTTTATTTGCGGAGCCAGAAGAGGCCTAATGGTCGCTTATGTTTTCAAAAATAGTTTGAACTAATCAAAAAGTGTTCAAAATGTTGCGGCGAATGCATTGAAAAGCAGGAAACATATTAGTTTACATAAAAATTGTATTATTTATAAGTTTTTATGTAAACTAATATGTGTATTTAGTGCTGTCTAGAGAAGTTGCATTTACCACGGAGAGTACTCGGAGGAATTGTTCGGATTAATTTCAGTTACTAAATTCCATCAACGCACATCGGGGCAATACTTACGGTACCATCCATACAAAGGCCGCGGTGTGGAAAGCTAGTCAAATACACTAGCCAGAACAAGTCGGTGGGGTGGCGCATATTTCTAGTTCGCCTTTTGTTATAACATGGGGAAATGCTTAAGCATATCCGCCTCACGGGGGCAAGTACGGGTTACGTCGGACACGCACCGACTAAACCTAGTTAGCCTAGGGCTGTCAGAACTCTCCCTTTGACGGAGACTCGATCCGGATCTTCTGAGAAGGGTGATCAGCACGCTCTTCCTAGAGGACTGGTCAAGTACCTCAGGCCATCTGCCATCTTCATGGGAGTGGCAAGATGAGACGGGGGTGACCGTCGAGGAGCTGGACCGAGCCGTTAGCCGTTTAAAAGTCCGGAACACAGCACCGGGGCCCGAAGAAATCCCGAGCAGGGTCCTCGTGCTGATTCTGGCTGCCCTGGGGGACAGGCTCAGCCAGCTATTTACCAACTGCCTGCGGTGTGCCACGCCTGGAAAGAGGCAAGGCTGGTCCTCTTGGAGAAATTGGCCGCTAATTCTCCCTCTACCGCCCCAAACGCCTGTTGGACGAGATTGGCAAATTCTGCAAAAGGATAGTTGCCACACGGCTCAATAGCTATCACGCGTAGGTCCCGATTTGACTGATAGCCAGTTTGGGTTCCGAGGGGAGCTTTCCACTGTAAATACAATTAAACGCGTCCGCTCCCTTTCGGAACAAACACCTCTTCGCAAACAAACACCTAATCGCCAACGCCTTTAACTCTATCCTACGCAATCAGGAGGACACTGGTACATCATAAGGCGCCCCCCTACCGGCAAGGTATTATCGGTGACTACTTGCGCGACAGGTCCGGAGAGAGATCAAACATGGGGTTCCACAGGGCTCTGTGCTGGGTCTACTGTGGAACCTCGCGTGCGGTTCTGCGAGTCGACCTTCCCGCTGGCGTAAATATTGCGTGCTATGCTCACGACACATTGGTGATCGCTAGCGGGATAACTTTCGAGAGGGCTAAGGAGCTCGACGAGCTAGGGCGAAAGTCGTCGTCGCCAAAATCCACGAGTTGGATTTAGAAATAGCACCTCACAAGACCGAGGCCCTATGGTTCCATAAATCACCACGGGGCAGGGAACCACCCAACTCGTGCGTGGGTGTGTACGAACTCAGAGTGGGGAGGTACATGAAGTACCTAGGCCTCCACCTGGACAGTCACTGGGGCTTCAAAGAACATGGGTAAAAAGACTGGCTGTCTGACGCTGACGAATTAAAATTTACAGTGTCCAGCGGAGGATGGCCATACGGATCGTACGAGGATACCGTACTATATCCTTTAAGGTGGCGACAATCCTGGCCCGCTTTCCACCACTAGATATACTGGTGGAAATGGATCCGAGGGTGTACGTCCGAATACGTGCCCTCCGCCAGAGCGGTGGTAGTAAGCCAGAAGAAGCACTCGAATCAATTAATCGTCAGGAACGACAAAACGCTCGACTCGAGGAGCGCTATGAACGCAAACGTGTCATTGGAACAATTTTTGGTTTTTGAATGATTTTTAAAGCCTGGATGCAGCGTCGAGCAGGAAGACTCACTTACAGACTTACACAGATAATTACCGAGCATAAGTACTTCGATGATTATCTGTGTAACATCGAACGCGAGATGACGGTGAACTGCTTTCACCGCGGTGGACGGGACCAGGACTCCGCTTCCCATACGCTCGCAGTATGCCCAGCGCGGGAACGGAAGCAGACAATTCTGGTGAACCACCTCAGTCGTAACTTCTCCCTGCCAGCAGTCGTGTCGGCAATGCTGAGCGGGGATTCGGCGTGGAGGGCCGTAACCATCTTCTGTGAATCTGTTATGATTCAGAAAGAGGCTTCTGAGAGGATCGGGAGAGGGCGGATTCCGTTCGGAGACACCGTTGTCAAGGCGTTCGTCATGGCCCTCCTCTTGAAAACGGTGTTCCCCTAGCAGGAAAGGGGCCTCCGGGGTTCGAACGCTTAGTTAT